TCCTGCGGCCCTTGTGTACTGTATCATTGTCAATCAGTATTGTTTATTAAGAACCTTTCAGTGTTGAATGGAATTTTGTGTATTATAGAGATTTTCTATTTAAACTCCACACTTCTCTTTGTTCACCCAAATACTTAAATCATTAAGCTGTAAGTTTTATTACAATGTAAAAAGACCAAAAAGGTCATCCAACTTAATACTTAACACTAGTACATCTATTCACACACCCCACCACTCTACATATTAAGTTTTAGAAAAATACAAATTCCTCACCACTCTTGATATTCTTGAGATCCGATGCATTGAAGCACCGTGTGCGACTAGACGATTAGGTTCCACAAAAGATCAATCGTGACAAAATCTCATGTATACTACAAATACTTTTGTTTCAAACTGATGCCTAGCACAAGAAGAAAATCTCATGTATCAGCCTTCAAACCGTCCTTAAACTAATGCCTAGCACATACTTTTGCTTCAAACTTTCACCCCAAACAAAATCTCATGTATACTACAAATATTGTTTAACGATTTAAATATTGGGATGAACAAAGAAAATTATGAGGTTTAAATAGAAAATCTTTTTTTATTTCTTATTTTTTTAGCTTGGGATGTATTTAAGGGTAGTTTAGGAAGATAGTGGGGTTTTTTTAGAAATTGAGAAAATTTAAATTAAAAGTTGGGGTGAACTAAGAGAAATGTGGGGTTTAAATACAAAATCTCGTATTATATTCTCTTTTCATATTTGAACCCACAATGTTTACATGCCATTGCTCAGTTTTATGAAAGAAGAAAAAAAACGTTTTCTCCTCTTTCCTTTAGTTAGGGAGCAATTGGAGAGGAAACATAACAAGAGTACTGATTTATGCACAATTCTATTTCATAACAGGGAGGAGCATACATCTTGTACATTTACACCATCACATCTTACAGCAGTCATACTCACACCAACACTGCCTTTGGAGGAAATGTTGATCTGTTTCTTCAAAAACAATTAATTTGAATAAACCGTTCAATACAGAGAGAGAGAGAGAGAGAGAGAGAGAGAGAGAGAGAGAGAGAGAGAGAGATTTTGAAAACAACACTGATCATCGATTTCAAAGTTCCCAACTCCAGCACCTTTGTGTGACCAAAAACTTTACCACATGAGCACTGAAGCAGGCTGCTATACACCTACTCATAGCTGACTGAGTTATCACTGTTTCAAACAAAGAAGAAGAACAAAGGATATTCAGCTGCAGTCAGCTATCCATAGTTAAAGAATCTCCCACACAATAGGATTTAAGAAATACTAAAGAAAGCTAACATTTTCTAATGCAAACCCTCCACATCAAATCAAGGCTAAGCATCTATTTACATCATCATGAAACCATGTGTGTTCCTCAAAACTAAAGTAATCGGTTATATGCCTCTAGCAGAAAGCACCTTGCCATAACAAGTCGACTTGATATTTCATTGGTAAAAGTTGACACACAAACCATTCTTAATTAATGACATATGCATTGATATTGCAAACTGTAAAAGGATGTCAAGAACTGTAAATACTTTATTATCTGACCTTTGAGTGCCACAGTGTTCGATGATAAAACAAATAAATCAATGATGAAAATCACAGAAGGACATTCCCAGACCTGTAGAACACCTGCTTAAATTAGATATGCTTTGAACCTAACCATGTATTCTTCAGTAGAGTAAAAAGATGAGGTAAGGAAAGAAACTTCTGTATTTGCAAACCATACCATCATTGCAACAAGAAACATCTTGAAGTAACTTGAAATAAATATTGCGAGCAAAAGGTCTTTATACCTGTGCCAGAACAAACAATATAACACCTGCATGTTTCTGTGTGAATATATGCATATAAGTATGTATGCATGTATTGATTTGAAACAAAACGTTATAACACTACTAAAGGTCGGCTAAAAGAATCCTCTTATTAATCATTTAAGCCAGGACTCATGGGTGATCATAAATTGTCTTTTTCCTTATGTATTCTATATTCTTCCCTAAACTCCAAATTGTGGTCTCGAACCATATGATCAAACAGGCATGATTTCTCAGTAAGTGGTTATAAAGGGATGTCTCAATGAAAATTTTATGGAATATATACTGCCATCGTGAGAAGTATCCATAAGAAATGTTACCTGAGTGGTCTAGGGAATGTACTGAAAAGAACCCTCATAGAGAGCAAAAAGGTAGAAAGAAACATGATATTTCCAAAGACAACGTCCATCAGCATCTGAAATGGGAACAAATTTTTTTTTTACTGACTAAAAAACTGAAATGGAAACATTTTCAACCCATCCGTTACAACTTATCACAGATCGTGTTAGATGCCTGAAACCCATGAAATCCAATAAACCTTCCACCAACCTTTTGAAATCTCCAAAGTAATGACGCGAAGCTCATGGACAAGCCCCACTCTTCCTTACTTCTTTCCAGAAAGAGACTCCTATCTTGAGAAATGTTAAGGCACCCAAATGTGTATGTACATGTATATTTTCTAACAACGAATTTAAATAAATTTCCAAAAACATAATCCTGATATGGATACAAGCATCCAAAAGAAGAAACCCAAAAGTAGACTTCCACAATAAACCCTGCAAAGCGTGTCAAGAAAACAAATTACCAACTCTTGGGATTGAAGTTTTGAAGGCAAAGCATAAAACCCATAAACAAAAAGCTGTCTAAAGTTTTAGATAATGAGAAAGGAAGCATTTTTCAATACCTGAAAAGAAGGAGCTTGTGGGTCTATCACATTATAGAGTAAATGTGTATAAGCTTTGGTCTTGTGCAGAATTAGATCAATTAGAATAATCTGGCAGTGCCAACAACAACAACAAAAAAAGTTTAAATTTTGTTGAATTTTAAAGAAGAAAAATGAAGAGATTCAGATATAAGCTTACTATGGGTTCGCATTCGATGTACTCATCTGCAACTGCCTTGCAGTTTCCCTATCAAAAGAAAAATCAAACTAAATTTTGTAGCAGCAGCAAAACTATAAATAAAAAATTAAATAAAAAGAAATTAAAACAGAAAAAAGAAGGAAAATTTACGCATTTCATGAGTCGAATGTTGCCAGGTGAGTATTGGACGAACAGAGTCGTCATGCGACCCCCGCACTCTACACATCTGTATTCCATGGCGCGCTCTGGCTTGCTTTCCGCCCCTTTTGCTCTGTCTCCCTCTCACTCGGAACACTTCTTCTTCTTCTGTTACCAAGTTTGGGCTTTTGCTGATGTCTGTTTTGTGTTTGCGGTTAAGTCCAAGTCTTTAGGCCCATAGCCCTTGTTGACCTGTTTTCCTATTTCCTTTTTCCGAAACGGTGCCGTTCTGGTTTTATAGTGCTACATAAATCTGATCACAACCCTCTCTTCTCACCTTACATAATTACATTTTGATCTTAGTAAACAATCTTAAAAGAGAAAGCTGGCTAGACCCTATGTGGTCCATGCAATTTTTGCCATTAAAAAGTATTATTTTGTATACGTCTCGAGATAGATGAATATAATTTAGGCAAATGCGCGACAATTGTCTAGAATGAACCCATACGACAATCAATAGTCGATATAGATAAGTATGGACAATTGTGCTTGTGCATGTATATATACACCAAAGTTTTTCTTTCTACCTTAGCCATGTGACATGTTCATCATCATCCATTGTGCTTCCTAAGCCTAGGTTATAGGCCATAGGATGGGCACTCCCTGCAGGCCATTGCTATACTTTGTTTACCAACTGCTGATGATGCATTTTCATAAATTTACCATGCTATATATATATGCTTTCCCTTTACATATGTCTCTCTAGATGAAGATTTTTGTACTTCTAAATTTAAACCCATTGCTTGACTTGATTTCCAGTTGAATCTCTTCATGTTTTTCCTTCTTCAACAAAAACAAAATTAGGGTTTTGATAATCATGTTGTTTGACTGGTTAATCCCATTAAGTGATGGATCATGAGTAACACAGCAACGCTAATCCATGTTGAAGATTGAAGTTCAGTAAGATTAAAAACTGCATGCACATATTAGATTGGAAGAATATGTAAATAAATTTCTTCAGATATCACTGCAGCTGTGAAGATATAATCAAACTCAGTCGTTTCAATTATAAGAGTATTAGGTTATTTTGTGGCATCATACACAAGAATATTGTTAAAGTTGCACTAGGATTGATCTTCATCGAAACCAAATTGAAATCTGAAAAATAAAAAGTAAAGAAATTCTATTATTTTATGACAATTAAGATTAATTTGCTGGGTTGCAAGCTTGCAAGTGAAGGCACATATTTATGTCAAACATTGAAGCACTGCTATCATCCCTTGGTATCATGTTCCAATTTCCTGTTAACTAGTGTAGTGAACATTTGATTAAGAACTTATTTCCAGGAAAATCATTGTTAAAGAGCAGTACTATCTGTGGTTACTGCTAAACAGTAATTCTATTGATTACAGGATCCTGACTGACAGTACTAGTACTCTTTCAGAGTATAGAAGTTAATATTTACCCTTCCCATGCCTTTTATTTTTTATACAAGCGATAATATATTTTAATCTAATCTAAATTATAGGAAGGGGGATTCAAACTTGGATACAGAGTGGGGAGCACATCAGCTCTAGCCAACTTGGTTCAGCCCATGTCCGCGGCTTCCCATGCATTTACATTTACTTAATAGTTTGATCCTGTGGCAGTTTTTACAGATCAACTATTCTTTTACTACATTAATTAATTTATCTCTATGGTTCTAAGAAACGAAAAGATACAGCAAGTTTTTTAATAATCAGTAAATGACAGCTGCTAATTAACATGTGAAAGTGCAGGAGATGTAATCAATTAGTAGCTGATTTGACAAATTCAAAAGTGCATGCACTGTCAATCTCTTTCTATGTTGATCAAAAAAGTCTATATATAGTACAAATTCATAAAGCACGAGCTGCCTTAGTTTTTCTTTGTTCATTCATATTAATTGCTACTTCTGTTTCCACATCACAACTAATACATAATATATGATTACGAAGTGTTAAGAATTACGATCTAGGAATGAGAAGGGGATTACTGAGGGGGGTGTTATAATTTACACCTAAAATCTACTGCAGTATCAAAGATAAAGTCAAAACTGGCTGCATGCTAAAGAGAAAAACATATGAATTACCAAGGTAAAAAGTAGGGTAATTAACGACTTGACCATAATGTTACTAGAAATTTCAATGAAGCTAAAAGAATGTGGACTCTGAACACAGACAGATAGATATATACATATATACCTTTTTACATCGCTGAGCTTTCTGCGCCTTACCTGTAAAGGGTGTGACTAATTGAGCTGCAGCTGCTGCAAGCAAGCAAGAAAACTAGAGACATTTTATACGGCAGATCATAAGAAACAACTTTTAAATTATTCATATCAAGCATATGCCGCAGTAGTGTGCTATATCTATGAAACAGTATAAGCAAGAGTTATCTTGTTTTGTAATAAAATTGATGAAAGATTTTGCCTTTCGAACTTGAACTTCAACCGTACTCTTTATGTTCTTTTTCACAACCAAGTAAATGTACAATCTTTGAAGCGGATCGAAGACTTTATAATCATCGACAAAATTATCAGCCTCCAGTCTTAGATGTGAAGTAGTGATGATCAAGCTAAGTTGGAGTTAATAATATAGATGTAAGGCAAAAGGAAATGCAGGTCCAATCAATTCTCCAATCAATTCGATTGAACTGCAAATTGACTACTAGTACAATGCTGTAAGAAAATGCTTGTTCACTTCGTTTGTAAAATATATTGTGCCAATTCACAGAAAATGAACTCGGCTAGCCTATAGCTTCTGATATATATATATATATATTCCAAATAAAACGACAAGGAAAGTAGATTTTCCCTTTCTTTGAAAGGCCCTCTGCAGACTGCAGCTACACCATGTGAGCAGTAGGGGGCATCATTTGGGTAGCCTTAGCTGAAGAGAAGAGAGTGAACCCACCATGACTTATAATCTGTTCATATATATTTTCCTTGGCAGCAAATCATCAACTCTTCTAGCTAAGCTAGATATAGATAGCCTAGCTAGGGATCCAAATAAAACGACAAGGAAGTAGATTTCCCTTTCTTTGAGAGGTACTGATCTGCTGCACCTGTATTGGGCAGTGGTATTTGGTTGGCAACAATAGTATTGGGCAGCCTTAATTCAAGAGGAGCAGAAAGCGAAGAGGAAGGAAGATGATTATATGGTATTGCTGTTGAAGGCAATATCTGGTATTGATGTTCATCTGTTTGATCTTCTTCAATGTTTGGAGAACACTCCATGTTCACACCGAATAGCCTAAGCCGCTTACCGGTAGAGGCACCAGCGCTAGCTCCACTGGAACTCATCTTCCCATGTTGAACAAACGGCACAGAATCAACCACCATCGGATACTGATGGTGATGATGAACCACTTGATCCCTCTCCACTTGCAATTGATGATGAATCTGATGCTGCAAATATTGATGGTTCATGATCTGGTGGTGATGATGATGGTACGGATGATGAACATTATTGTTGCTTGGATGAAAATAGTCATGGTGTCTAAGAGGCATGGACATCATGGATGGAGGCGGCCGCTGAAGCGGGGAGTATAGCCTGCCTCCGCCTCCACCACATCCACATCTGTCATTGCAATTACCAAATTGTCCATGGTGGTGATGATGTGGCGGAGGAGGAGGAGGGGGAGGTCGGCGCCTCCAGTCAATGTACAAGCGGTCCTTACCTGAGTCCCCAACCCCGCGCTCAAACGACACAATGTCACCGGCATCCAGCTTCTTCTCCTTCACAAAACGGCTCCACCCTTTGGTCATCACATAGCTCTGGCTGCTGTTCCAGTAGGAGTACCTAAACCGCCACGGCTTCCCGGTCCGGTCTTGGAAGTTCAAGAGGAGGCCCTTGTCGTTGGCTGTAGAGTCTAGCGGGAAGTATCTCTCGGCATGTTGCTTGGGTATGACTAGCCGGTTGAGTTTTCCCACATCACTTGGCGTGACAACTTTGTCAAACATGTGCTCTCTTTCAGAGTTTGGAGGCCAATTGTTGTTGTTATTGGCTCCATCAGCTGCTGCTTGCTCATGGTTTAGTGATAGGTCCATGAAGTTGATGGCTTCTGGAGACCCATGATTATGTACAGCCCATGGCTTTTGCTGCTGGTACTGATGATGATGAGGAAGAGGAGGAGGAACAAAAGTGGCTTTGTACTTTGGTGATGACCCATAATTGCTGTTATTATAATTATGAGATGAAGAAGAGAACTTACTGGAAATTATATCCTCTTCCTCTTGATCTTCTTGATCTTGATCTTCCTTATCTGAATACCCTTTTTGATCTCGTTGCACAAACTCCATGATTGTTGATGATATGATGAGTTGAAATTAATTTGAATGAGATGGACTTGAACCTCTCCAATTTGATGATCAGCCTCTCTCAGATAAATTCACAGTGGATCATGATCTTATCTCAATCCAAACCCTACTGCCTGTTTACTAAACAAACAAAACTCTAGTCAAATTATCAATGAGAAAATATATACAAAAAAAATATCATTATTGCAAGCATTTTTCTTCACCTGCAAATGCCCTTTTGAAAATTGTTATCTTTTAAGTACTTCTCAGATCTCTAGCTGAGGCCCTAAAGACCCAAAAGGGAGGAGAGAGAGGTCTCATTCTGAGCAGCAGACTGTAAAAAAGGGTCGGTGCCTTCCTTGACCAGGACAGAAAACTCAAACCCTAAACGTGACAAAATTAGCCATGGACGGCTTAACAAGGTCAGGCTACTTCTTGGTATTTATGTTGTCCAAGATAGCTAAAGCTATAGCATGTAGAGAGAGGGAGAGAGGGAGAGAGGGAGAGAGAGGGAGAGAAGGAGAGAGAGAGAGAGAGAGATGGATGTATTGGCCAAACACTAATTGAGTAGCTAATTACCTTCCTTGAAGCTTCCTTACAAGTATTTAGCAGTTACAAGAGAGAGAGGGAAAGCAAACATCAAATTCCGTCTACCATTTTTCTTCTTCAGAAGAAAGACTACTGGGAGAGAGAGAGAGAGAGAGAGAGAGAGAGAGAGAGAGAGAGAGAGGGGAAGGAGAAAATTTATACGTAGGGGCACAAGAAAGAATTTTATACGTAGGGGCCCATGAAAGGATGAGGTTTTGGGTCATGTGAGCTTGTCCTTTTGTTCAATAATTTTTTGGGTGCAAACTCTCTCTCTCTCTCTCTCTCTCTCTCTCTCTCTC